TTCCACTCCCATGTTTTGTCCAGAATATTTTCCTTCTTAATTTTAAATCTGCTACTTAAGCATGTATGTGACTTGAGTGCCTTTCCCTCTAAATAATTTTGCATAGGAACCCGCACCAAGCCACGGGACAATGGAAATTGTTTGGGCTCTGCTGAGCTCATTTGATTCATGGCAACTGCAAGTCTATCCTTACGTGCACACCTGCCTCCATGGGCACTCCACAGGCAAATGAAGTCATGGCTGAGCAGACAAGGTTTCAAGTAAGGTGTATTTGGCCACATCCCCAAAGTTAACACTCTGTTCTTTTATGAAGTGCTAGAAAATCTTAACAAGCAGGAAGGGATGAGGAACATGGATTTAACTTCTGCAACAGAGCACATCCGAAAGACGAGTAACTTTAACACTAAAGCAGGTCCTTGGTTCATTACTGATGCGGGAGGAGCAATTCCTCTCCCAAGTCATCTTTACCAGCACAAAGATTGAATTACATGGTTTGGCTGATTCTGAATTTCTACCCCACCCCCTCCAAAACATGACTATTAGAAGTATTGTCATGGGGTTGCGCTGCCATTTCCATGGAGAAGGTGAGCAGCAGAGCACTCACATAGTAGCTGGTTGAGCACCATCTCAGTGCCTTCTTTGGCACACCACCTCCAGAGCTGGCCTGGCCACCAGCATATGGCCTGCTGTGAAATGAAGACCTCAGCTCTGAGATCCAGCCACCTCATCTGAAGGTAGAGGAAGATCTCGTCAGGACGATGACTGAATTAATAACTGATAATTAGTGAATAAAGAGAAGAAACCTGGGGCCTCTTGGTGGTTCCAGCTCTCACTTGTCTTTTCTTGAAGCTACCTAGAAATTAAAGTTTTGTGTTACATGAAAGATTGCTTCCATTGTCCCTTTCTTAGAGAGAAGAAAACTGCATTTTTAACTTATTTTCAGTTCAATACAGTTGTGATCTTTTCTAGGCCCAGGCCAGCTTGAGAGATCTGAAAAGATTAGAAGACAGCAGAAGACCCCTAACTGGGAGAACAAGTTTAGGCAGCTTTCAATTGCTGGGCTACAAGTGAATTCAGTGAAATCAACAGACAAATGAGTTGCTGCTGAAGTCAACAGAATTACATCAACAGATATTATAGTTTCAAGGGTTGGGATTTTCTGATGGCCTACTCCTGACATCCATGAACTTCCTCTCCCATCTGCGAGACCAGAGTGTTGTCCCTAAGAACGCAACACTCCTCTCCCTCATATAAGAACTGCACTGGTGGCCAGATGGATTCAGCCCTCCAATTAGCTAAGGATAAGCCAACTGGTTCGTAGCAAAAATATAGTGTGTTAGTGTAAAATCTATTGAGAGTCTTTACCTGCTCAGCAGAGAATTTCAACCACATTTGACAGATTAATTTTCATTTAGTTCTCCACTTCCTTTTTTAAAGCAGATGTACCCAAATAACTTACAAATATATATACGTATATATAGTTATCCATCCATCTATCTGTCTGCCTATGTTTGTGACAGGAAATACTGAAAATTCACTGCAAAACCAAACAAAGACAGGCTCGATTCAGTGACCTCAACATATATATCTAGAGCCATTTGAAACTCTCTCAGCTGAGACACCCAGTGTGGGCAGATACGACACAGGACCTCCAGGAGATGCACATCCTTCTAGCCCAGCTGGAAGTCACACCGGGCGTCCTAGGGCATCCCGAACAGCACTAGGGATGTATGCTCAGTCAAGTGATTCAAGTCCAGGTTTCCCAGACAAGACAAGGCTGCCAAGGTTCAGATGTGAACTGTTGGGCATTTATTAATTTGTAACATATTAGAAGTTTGCTTTTTACCATTTTTACCATTGCATTTAACCAGCTGCCATTCAAGTCCTTTTTCTACTGGTGTTTGATGTGGCACTGAGCTACAGAAACAACAGCATATTTCAAGGGCTTCCAATGCATTAACTAACTTCTTTCCCAACTATTGCATCTTGTTTTATTTTGCTCCTCCAGCTAGTAGAAAGTAGGTCTCACTTTCTCCAGGATAGGTCAGGTTACAAGAGGAAGGTTTCTTCCCGCCATTAAGGGATCTGCTGCCAGGCACAGGCTTCGGGACCAGCTTAGACCCTGCCCACCAAGGCTAAAGCTGTTCACTGAGGACTCAGCATGTCATGACCCGTCCTGCTGCTACTCACACCTGTCATAGTATGAGGGTGCCTGGGCAATGCAACCCAGGATGGGAGATGGCACATTCTTTTCTGGTGGGGTTAGAAAGGGATTCTGCTGACTCCCACAGGGAGACAGGGGCTTTCTGAGGTAGAAAAACAATGAACAAGCACTCTGCTTTCCTTTTATGAGTTGTACCATGGCCTTCCGCTGATATTCCCGCACCTTCATTTTCTGTACTTAAAATTAAGCTCTACAGGCTCTACCTGTATACGTCAAATAATTCCTTTAAACAAACAGAATGTCCTGGAGTAGTGGGACAGTGCAAATCCCTGATTGCAAGGGATTTGAAGAATGCCAAAACAAGAATAAGAGAGTTGAGAGCTCAAATCCTATTGAAATCCTCAGAAAACTTCAGTTTAGCAGAGTAAAATGAGGTGGCGAAGCCCTTGGATATCTATAGATTTTGGCAAAGTATAATACACCAAGGTGGGAAGAGATGTATTTAGAGTAGGTCTAAAGAGCCTAAGTTTTTATTTATGATAGCTTAGACTATGTATTCATGGCAAACTGCTGCAAAGACAACAAGCAGAGGAAAATGCAGGCTTGTTCAAGAATTATTCCCAAACAGCAAAGACCTATGGATTATGGAATAATCCCCACAAGGGAACATGTACGTATGTTTATGCCATACTGACCCTTCTAGCCGTTATAAAATTACAGGTGCAAGGTGGAACACTTTAATTTTGTCCTTTGTGCCCTACATTCAGATTTTGAAAAATACTCTCTCAGACTGTTTTTTCCCAGGATTCTGCCTTATTCAGTAATGTGTAATGGACAGGGTTATCCACAGGCACCCTGCCTCCTTCCTTCACTGCTGAGATGAAAGGCAAGAGCCTTCCAGGAAAGCCAAGATGGATTTGTGGCCAAGAAGCTGCCTGTGGAAGTTGCAGCTGGTGCCAAATACCTCCATATGAGATTATAAGGTGATGTGATTTCTGGCTGCAGCTGATCAGTGTTAGCAGCTAGTGCTTAGACTGTGACTTCTGCTGGTCACTGCTCTCCTTGCCCTGCCTGGACCAAGATTATGGCACTCCCATACTGTTGATGGCACTGCAGGGAGAGCCCCTTCCTAACCCCGATAGCCTAATGACATACTTTAAATAAACTCACCTGAAAACACACCAAAAAAAGCCACAACCATGATTTTTGCTAAACTTCAATTTTCTGATAGAACTGCATTGGGAAGCAGTCACACGTCATGTTTTGTCAGGAGACCTCACATATCAGCAACCGTCAGCAGACTGGGAATGCATCACTGGAAACCTCCCTCCAACTCCCAGCCTAAATCTTAGCAGAGCTCGGATGCAGCTCATGCAACATTGCCAGAGAGATTTAAAGCTGCCTCACATCAATATACGTTGTGCTTGTAAATTACAAACTCTACCAGTGTCAGGCACACTTAAAATCAATGGAGAACCTAATCTCCGCTCTGGTTGGGTATTGATTTAACTACATCGACTTAAATTCAAATATAGTAAGTCAATAGAGCTCCCTAGCATTGACATAAAAATGCGGGTTAAAGGTACTTCTGCCAGTGTAGCGTGTCCTAAGAAAAATAATTTTAGCAGGATTAATTTTTTTTTGCCTGGGTTTCCCTCTGGACATGGTTGGACAGTCACAAGCAGGCAGGTTAGTTCCTGAAGACATGTAAGAGGCAACAGCATTGCTGAAAGGAAGAAACCTCCAGGAGAGGCTGGAAAACCAGAAGGCAGTACACGCCGCTATGTCCTGCAAAGCTCAGCAATCCCTGTTTGCATATCCCCATACGCATAAATGGGCACGTGAATTCTGCCAGTTTTCTGCCAGACTAAAACAAAGTAACTGAAGCCACTTGCACCAGCGATCTGAGGTTAAATTAAACCATCATGGGACCTGGAGAGGATTGGATTCTGTGCCAGCTTGTAGTGGAAATTTCTTACTGGGTCTGAGGCAAAGAATATTAATAAGAAAATCAGAAGAGTGGATACATACAAATGGTAGCAATGCATAGCAAGAGGCAGATTGTTTCCTAGCAACACAGGCTTTAGGCTGGTTAGTTTTGGTTAGCATTTTCTGACTAATAGCTGCAATTTTTATCTGTACTGCTGCTCACTTGCCTACCTGTGCTGAAAGAGAGAAAAACGAATAGAGAACGTAGGATAGGATCCGCCTGCACTAGACTACGCATGTGGAAGTGAGATCTCTGCGTGCGAAGGACTTGCCAGTGCCCCGAAAAACGATGGGCTGAAAGCACCTCTAGGGGTGCCCATTTCTGCCATGTGTGAACTAGCTCAGGACCTTGTGCTTCAGGCAGCTAAGCCAGGGCACACGAGTTTCACCTCCACTGTGTTTTGGCACTTCCCTCCTTCCCTATCTCCATCCCACAGTATCATGTGCTCCAGGAATACCCCATGGCTAATTCTGCTCTCAGTATCATCAGTGAGAGACCCCTGACTTCACAGGCAATAGGGCAGAGCCCCTACCTTTTATATATTTATGGATTTTGTCTGTGGCTTTATTTACACCATGTCCTCAGAGAATAATGTAGGAAACCAGCTTCTCTGTATGTGTGTGTGTGTCCATGTGCGTGTATGTATAGGTCTTGGCATATTGGGACCTCTGCTCACCTATTGCAAGGTAAATAATTAATGATTGCATGTCTGTTAGTAACTTTTCCTGAAGGTGTTTGAAAAATGCCTTGCACTGCTAGGGTGCTACAAAAGCAATTCCCAATAAAAACCCTAACCATCCCTTTAGACAGCATCTGTGACCAATATGGGCTTGATACGGGTGTCAGCTAAAGGTCTGATCTGGGGTTTCCGCACATACACTTCGGGACCAGCTCCTTAATCAGGCTCACAAGCTCTGCTTTCTCCATACAGGCCCTGCTTACTTCTCCCCAGCCTGTCAGTAACTTCCAGAGCTCAGCCTCTCTCATCCTCCTGGAGAGCTCCATGGATTTTAAGTCCAGTTTCCTTTCTGCAAGAGGAAAGAATGTGAGAGACGCTTTAGAGAGCACATAAGTTTTCACGTTGTCTGTAACTCCTCTGTGCTGCCAGAGAGGAAAAAATCACCCAGTTCGTGCAAATGCTGCAAAGCGATTGCTGTAATGCAGGGGGTGGCAGCGTTGAGGAGAGCAGCTGCTGCACCCCAAGTGACATGGGTTTGCAGTCCCGTACCCTCCAGTGATCTGTCTGCAGCTCTAAGTATTTAAAGCCAAGGACCGGGGCTTTGCTAGTCCATGACATCTCTAGAGGTGGTGGCACCATCTCCTCTGTCTCACTTCCTTCCCCATAGTTCGGGATCTCTACAGCCTTCCCCTCCCCAAGAGAAAGGCTGTAGAATAAATCTTACTAGCCACCAGAGAGACCATACAGGGGAGTGAATCACGAGAAGTGCCCAGCCATGAGAAAGCCTTATGCCAAGCCTTGCGCTTTACTAGGACAAAAGCAGCAGATCCACAAGACACGAAGCCACTGGAAATTGAGGCTTCATTCAGTCCATGGGACTGGCTGTTTATGTCCTACATTTGTTTTTTATCAGCCATGAAAAACCGTCTGGGTAAGAGGAAAGCAAGCAGGTTTTTGACGTACAAAGAAAGCAAGGCCTGATTAACTGAAGAGGGAGAAGAGATTTCATTTATTTGGGTTATTTAAAACTCTGCAGTCTTTGTTAACAGCTGCTCAACTCGAACAAGCAACCTCTCTCCGAAGGAGTCAGCACTGCTCCTCCTTCACTGCAGAGCTGGGAAAGTGCCCATCCGCACGAGTGAGTCATCCAGACAGGCCTCCAACAAAGACTGCTCTGGCTAGGATGAAAGCATAAACTCTTTACTTCTCCTGGCCTGAGCCATAAGTAGACGAGAGGAGGGAGGGAGGGAGTACAGAACTACTTATTTCCCTTTCTGCTTAGGTTTAGAAAGGCTAAAGAATGGAAAGAGTCTGTGGGCAGGGACCCAGAGGGACAAACAAATGCCACTAGACAATGAGACCCCAAAGCTCACCTACCTTATTTGAGCTTACCAAGATGAGTATCTGCCGTCTTAAACTTTTCACAGATCTTTGGCAGGAGCACATGGGCACCCACCATGCAACTCACTTCAGCAATGATTTTTGTGGATGTGTTACTCGTGGCTCCACAGTAACAGCACTGAAAAACACAGGACAGGGAATTAATGCCAAGACAAAAGAGAGGGGATGCTGCAAAGTGGGGAATGCTTTCACACCCCCAGAAGTCCATGGGAGTAGAAGGCACCCAAGTCAGGGGTGTTGACTGCCACAAGTCACTTGCTAAGATCACGGGACTCCCTCTTCCATGGGTTAAAACACATGGCAAAGTGGAGGGCACAGCAGTGCCAGACCTGCTCATAAAGAATGTTGATAATGTGCAAATAATGGATTTTCAAGGTGCTATTGAATGATGTTACTACTATTTGGCAACATTCTGTTTAATTTTGTACCTATAATAAATCCTGAAGGTAAGGCCTGGATTGTGTCCGTCTGTCACATGAGTAAACATAATGAATGTGCAATTAAATGAATTCATGAGTAAGGTGATACACCAATGAAGCACTCCTCTCTCATGGTAGAATTCACCCCATTGAAAGCAGCGGGGTTCTCCTACTGGCTTTTACAGCGTAGAGCAGCGTAGACCACCTGTGGTTTTAAATCAAGGATGAGAGTCTTCCACCTCTACCCATCCAATCTGTCCCACCAGGACCCGTGGTAGATAAGCACTCTTCAGCACAGGAGAAAGATCTGCTGAAACCTCTGCACATCTTCTGGCCAGACCGATTCACTGTTTCTCTGCACCCCAGGGAATTCCTGTTGGTTTGGCTCATTTCTTCACTTTTATTATGACTGTAAGTTCTTCGCGCAGATCTTATCTTTTTGCTCTGTGGTTGAACAGCACTCAGAGGAATAACCTCTGGGCATGAGAATAGGCCAGGAAAATCCCCAAATGATAACCTGGGAAAATCCAGAGCTGAAAATCCAGCATATGCTTTTCTTCAAAGGGTAGGTCCATGGGAGAGAGTGGAGCTGCAGAAATGTCTGCTGTGTTAAGGCTGCGCTGAAGCTGGCCTAAAACTGCTTCTTGGTGGAGCAGGACTTGTCCCTTGTGAGCTACCAGAAAGCAGCACGTCTTCTGCAGCAGCTCTTCTGCGAAGACCTCAGGGATTCCCCTCCCGCTTCCACAGAAGTGCGGAGTCCCTGCAGCACGACTGCCTAACATCAGAGCATGGAGAGACTTTACAACACAAACCGCCTGACTGCACAAAGCTCCTGTGGTCGACAGAATGTGTCCCAGCTGCCTGGATCCCAGGTCTGCCCTGAACGAGAAGTCTTTCAGTCTCCATAAACACGTGCAGCTTTCCACGGAAGTGATAGCTATTCTTTTACAGGCAGCTATCTGGACCCAGGTCATCAAAACCAGAACGTCACACAGTAAAAAAATATTGGGTGCCTGAAACACCTCTGAAGCCCTGAAGTTGTCACTAAGGGAGAACAGTGCGGCTGTCTGTTCAGCAGCAGCGCAGCCTCCCTCCTCTGCACCCCTGGCCTTTCCCAGTTTCAGTCTGGAAAGGTGGATGGGGATTTCAGTGTATCTATTCAGTCATCAGCTGATGAGCTGCCAACAACTATGTTAATTTTCCCCTGTTGTAATAGGCCGTTTAGGGCCCCAGCCAATGACCAGAGAAGCTGCTGGAAAGAGTCCCGCTGATTTCAATGGCTGTCCAACAACATGCAGCCATATACACCGAAAATTAAACACAGATTCGCTTCACACAGGCCACAGGACTGTCCTCTGTTCCTCGCAATTATCATTATTATTGTCATTACTGGATTTGAATTAATGTCTGTGAGTGCAGATGGACAGTGTTTTATCGAACAGAAATTCTGTCATTTAACTAGGACTTTCTCAGAACTTAAAACAAAGGAGAATGATTCCAGATGCTGCTCTTTTCCTTTTGCATCCCCACAGCTGCTGACCAGCTATGGTGTCCACAGCAAAATCTGAATTTCTTTTAAGTGAATTGTAAAATCTGTCAAAAAATTCTTTACATACTGCAAAAAGAAAATAAAAACCTTAAGCTGAACAGCAGAAACTGGTAAAGCTGCCAAAGGAATGTTAACAAGTTAGCTAAAGACAGGGATCATTAACACTTTAAAAAAAAAAAAAAAGAGACTGCTCTGTAGTTTAAAAAAAGAACTCTAATTTCATCTTTTAGCTTTATAGATAACGGTGGGTTTGTGGGAAAGGAAATCGTTCTGTCAGCTCTGCATGGATCCCATTAACGCTTTTTTAATAAAAGGAGCTCAGAATCTATCACCACTTTGATCTCAGTTCAATAAAGCTAATCTTAGCGTTGGTTTTAACATGGACATTTAATTGTATTTAATCACCTTCTGCAAAAATCAATTTAGTTGACATGATACTGACCAGGACTGGTCAGCAGAGATAAGGAAGAGCTATGTTCTAGCTACTCCACCCTATTACACTCACCTCTAAGCAGGCAACTAATTAATGTGGTTATCCTCATAACACCCTTGGGAGGAAGGGAAAATGCTACTCTTTTTTGTTTTTTTTCAGATAAAGAACTCAAGAAACAGTAAAATTAAACGACTTTCTCAAGGTCACACAGTAAATCTCTGACAGTGCACACAATGAACTTCTTGTTTCAAGCTGGCACCCTCACCCCTAAATCAGCTCTTTGCCTAAAATGAAGACATCTGTCACTAACTGACCTGATGCTGATCGCGACCGATTTTGCTAGTTGGCTCTTCTTAAACTGCTAGTTTAAACACTGCTCAGTTTTGTATTGAACTTGCCCTGCAGAGTATAAACTTCATGCCAGTGCTCAATGAACACGAGGTTTTCCACCCAGAGCACAAAAGTGAATTTCAGGAATATTTTACCACAGAGCTTGCTTGGAAAGCTCTGGGATTGCCTCATGGCACCCTTTGTAATTCATGTCATAACTTAGGTCTGCATTATTAACCATAACATTTTATATTTACAGAGCATCCTCCAGCCAAGAATCTCAGTACACTTCCTATCTATTATTAAAACCTTTCAACATTCCTGCAAAGTGAATTTGACATCATTTAGGAGACGGAAAAACTGGGACGTGGAGAGGAAAAAGGCCAAAAATTTAAAAAGAAGTTACTGGAAGATTTTTCTATTATTTTCCTTGGAAAAAAAAAATCCTTTATATTTATGTTTAAAAGTTCTCAGACTTGACAAGAGTAATAAATTTGTTCAGCCAACCATGACCATCATAGATGTGCCTAGAGATGGTAGTGCCTGATACCGTCTACAGCAATTCTCAAAATGTGCCTAGAGTGCCTGATACCGTCTACAGCAATTCTCAAAATAGCAATTAGCAATGTACATATTTCTGGTTTTATTAACACAGACTATACGTGCAATTATCTGTGGCACACGCTTATTCTTACTCTAAGGAAAATCATACATAGTTGATTTTCATACCAGCCAAATAAATTTGTTCAGCCAACCATGACCATCATAGATGTGCCTAGAGATGGTAGTGCCTGATACCGTCTACAGCAATTCTCAAAATAGCAATGAGAATATTACATATTTCTGGTTTTATTAACACAGACTATACGTGCAATTATCTGTGGCACACGCTTATTCTTACTCTAAGGAAAATCATACATAGTTGATTTTCATAACAGCCAACAAAGCTTTGCCAAAGGTGACTTGTGCTAGTTCTCAGTTCTAGCTATGAAGTATGTTTGCTGTGTTTAATTAGCCTTTAGTGCCTCCTTACTCCTGTCAAGAATAATCTGCAATTGGCTGAACGGTGGCAGAGAAGAACTGTACCGGAGTAACTTGGAAGAGGTTCATATCTTCAGGACAATGCTGCGTCAGCTGGAGTCATTGGATGATTCCCTCGGGATACTTCAGCGTGGGTCAGCAGCTCATCCAGTGAACACTGATCAGTGTCCCAGGTACCGTTTGGAGGTTTGGTTGTTTCGGGTTGTAAGAAAACTGGATTTTTCCTACTTTGTGACTCAAGTTTGTGATGTGGAATGCGATAAAGGATGGTTTATTTTGCAGGCATTCAAAGCTTTTTCAAGAAAAGAGAGAAAGAAAACTAACATTCTTGACTTACAAGCAAAACCAAAGAGACGTTTAATATGCTTTATGTCATCTAAAATATAAAAAGAACTTGGGATATTCTCTAGTAAGCACTCTGGTGTAAGTTAAAAAATAAAAGCTTCAACTTTACTGCAAGCCTACTGAGCTGCCAAACAGACTAAACGTTGCAGATGAGTTGTAGCATTGCAATTACATGCTGCATTTATGCCACCTACAGGCACTAACACCAGCCCTTCAACAGGTTTGCCTGCCAAACTTTCTTCGTACTTCTTTTTTGGGCTGCTGTGGGAAGACTCCATAGCAGTCAGCCCTGACCTTCGACCCATAAAAACATTCTGTTCGGCTTATTAAAAATTAACACAAGCATTTAATTAAGCTGATCCACTAACTGAACTTGCCTCTTCCCTACCACTTAGGTACTGTGACTATGAAGCAATGAGGATACTAAATCAACTTTATCAAGTGCCTTTTGAAATGAGTGGCAAGTGTTACAGCAAACCCAGAAATAGCCTACAGCCTCCACAAAAACCCGCAACTTTGGGGGTGATACACAGACAGACCTCCCAACAGCATGCATTCCTGTGCCCAAAATAAACAATGCAATTATTTTGGGGGATTTAGGTAATGAGTTTGAGGAGCCTCTTTTTATGCAAAATAAAAACCTCATGGATGCTTTTAGGGAGGCAAGCAACGGGGACAGAAGTTTTCCATTAGTAGGATGTCAGCATCTCCAGCAGGACTGTACAGTCTCATGCTGCCTTGGGGAAGAGGCTTTTTTCGAAGCCGGGGGGGAAGTGCCACCTGGAGGACCGCTGTCCAGGTCCCCCACAGCCGGGCTCTCCCGCAGCTCTCCTGAGACCACTGGCTCTGTTCACATCCCCAGGCTGGAGACAATCTCAGGCCATGGTATTGCAGCTGCCATCTCTAGCCTCCTTGGAACTTAATTTCCTGAGAATTAAGTCAGAACACACACAAGATAATTAAAAGAAGTTCTGTCATCCTTCTTTCTTCACCCCAAGGGACATTTTAAAGTATATACTATTTACCACACGCAAAACAGTCTGTTGTTCAATAGAGACACTTGCTTCCACTTTAAATAGCTCAGCAGATGTTACTGCCTTTTTGCCGTAATCTCTGTGACTTTCCTACAGCCACCCTGCTACAGACAGTGCCAGGGGGATCCCTTTTTTGCACTCAAGCCTCTCAGGCTGCCTGCAAGCTCTCAGTACAGAAGCCTGGGCAAGCTCACGTTGTACTGTGCTAACAGCCGGTCTGATGGTGGCTGGTCTGGTGTTTGGATGGCTAAGAGATGTGCCACAGACTGGGAGAGAAGGGGCAGCTCTGATGCTGTGAAGGTTTCTGCCACTGCTTTGTCAGCTGGAAAATACTACTAAGAGGTTTCAGCAGAGTACCTGGCTAAATCAGAGGCGAGTTTGTTGCAGGGGGAGCATGGTGGGCTTGCTTGTTTGACGTAGGTACCTGGAGACGTGCAGGACTGCAGTCAGACTGGGGCTGGATTTTTCTCCTCCTTCTGACTCACAGGGATAGCTCTCCTGGAGGTGTGAAAGATTAAATTTTCTTGCATCCTGAAACTAGACTGCTGCTCAGACCAGTGCTCGCCTCCTCAACCCCACCTTTAACGAACAACAAGCATATTAAGGCTTTCACTCACTTACAGAACTGCCATAACAAGCAGGGCAGCCTCTTCCACTTTTATTTAGAAGTGGGTTGTTCACCCCCCATGTCTCAGCTCACTCAAGCTCAGCGTAACCTCAGAGCTTTTCATTAGCTAAGGACACCACCTGAAAAAATAGGAAGGGCACAGACAGACAAGGGCTTTTCACTTCTCAGCAAACACTACTGGCCACCACAAACCCCTGCCAAGGCATTTCTTGCCTGCTTCTGCGCAGGTTTGCTTACACCTGGAAAGAGCATTAACTGCTTTATTTAAGATAAGCAGAACTTCTGTGTGTCCATCCTGATATGTCTATGGCATAACAACCGGAAAATAACCATGGATGTGCTTAGTCGTGTAGGAGATGTTAGCAGTGTGGCCACAAGCACTTTTTGAGGCACAGGTTACACATACTGGTCTATTGTCATAAGGTGCAACTGGTATTAGGATTTAGGGGAAAGCACAGGAAAATTATTCTTGGACAGTTTTTGCACTAGGGGCTTCTGTTCTCCTTTACCCTCCTATCTTCAGCGCCTCTTCTCAGAGTCCCTCCACCTTTACCTTTGACAAAAGCATCACTTCTATCATCGCTTTCTTCTACAATACCTTTCTCCAGTCCCCACAGGTCTCTCCTGCTCACCTCTACCCTTCTTTTCATTCCTCCATTTACAAGAGGAGGCAGAAAGGAGCTACAATTTGGACACACTTCAAAGGTATTGTTTTCAGTTGTGCAAGTTTCACATTTATCAACACTGAGATCGTCTCCCAAGCATGGACTGCCAGCAATCTGACCTCCAGCCTTTGGTCAGACTTCAGCAAGCTCGGTTACTGAAAGGAAGATAGTCCAGTGACTTGGGAAGCCTAGGATCAGTTTTGGGACACAAAATCCCTTTGCAACTCCGAATAACTCCTTTCACCTCCATGTGATCTTGATTCATTCCTTTAACCCTTCAGCATATCATATATAAAGCGAGGATAAGAACAATCTTTACTTCTGAACAATGCAGTGAGATGGTACTGCATGGCATTTAGACTCCCTATGGAAATGAGAGGCAAATGAGCACCCAAACCTACACAAGTGCTGCCATCTTTACAGTGAGAGGCCACATATACGACGTGACCTGCTCCCCGTTAAGGCACACAGAACTTTGCTGCACCCACTACAGGCCCACAAGAAATCTGAGGAGCCTTCAGCACAGCAATGGCTCTGGCCAAGACAAAGTGAATTCTGTGCGAATGATGTTAAATTCCCCCAGGACTGATTAGAAAACGCTTTCTTTTTTTTCCCCCCTTGTGGTAACGCCAAGATGGATTTCTCCAATAGAAGCACAACATAACGAGACACTGAGCTTTGCTTTCAGACATCGGTCAGGCCAGGTTAGATTCTGCAAAATCAGCGCTTCAGCTTGACTGCTCCACTAATAACTACAGCACTTGGATAAAAAAAAATATTTACACCTTCTCCATGTGCTTCACTGCCTGCAATTAAACCATGAGAGAAGCCACTGACATAAAACACACACGCCCCAGCACATGCATGAAATAGCTTCGTTTGCCTTTCTCCATTTTAACCTCTGTTTTCGCAGTGGCCGGGTCTTCTGGGGTGAAACGAACCCGAGCCCGCGCAGGCCCAGCGCTCCGCCCGGCGAACTCCCCTCAGCGGCCGCTTACCGCCAAGCCCCTCGCGCCCCGTGCACGGTCTCCTACTCGGCGGACTCTGCCCCGTTGCCATGCGTCATGACGTCCCTCTCTCAATTTTTTTCATTGGCTGCTTCGCCGATGACGGCACTACCAAGTGTACCTCTCCGTGATTGGTTTGCGAGCGAGCGCGGCGCGGGCTTTGATTGGCGGCCGGGGAGAAGA